TCTTTGATCTTGCTGCCTCTGGGCCGTCCTCCTTTACTTCCTTCTGCCCTCTTGCTGCCTCTGGGCCGTCCTCCTTTACCTCCTTCTTTTCTTCTTCAACCTTCTTTTGGATGGCCATGGACATAAGCTCTTTGAGCTCCAGTGTTCGCTGGATGGGAAGCGGCTTCGTGCCCAAGTCAGCAATCATGATAGCACCAGGTAGATGCCTGACTCTCCAGTCCAGATTTGTGATCCTCCATCGGACATGTTGTGCGCGAAGCCTCAGGTGGCGTGTTCGCCAATTGGCATGTCCATCTGCGAAGAATCCTGTAGCTGCAAGGTTGTCGACGAACAGGGTCTTGGTGTATGGATCCTCATGTTCTTGGATCATGCTATCAACAGCATCCCCTGTTTGCAGACCTTCAATTGCTTCTAAAAGCTCGGATTCGGCTGTTGACAAAGCCGGGAACGGTTGCTTTCCGCTCTTCCAAAACATCATAGCTCCATTCCACAGGACCATGACGGCCCCATGGGAAGCCTGAGTCTCTGGAGTGGCAGCAAAACTTGAATCCGTATAGACCTCCAGGGATCTTGGCCCTCCATCCCAGCCTTCTCCTCGTCCAGGGCGGAACTCAAGACCTTCCTTTGGAGTGTTCTTCAAATATTTCCAGACCTGTATGGCCTGCTCGGAAGCCCAGGTGGGATGTGTCAAGATCTCCTGCGCACATCGACTAGTGGCAAAGGAGACATCAGGTCTTGTCCTTGTTGAGAGCCACATCAACTCGCCCACCAGTTTTTGAGCTTCCGTAATCTTTTCAGCTGTAGGTTCTTCCGGATAGGGCAGAGCATCCTTTGTCATAGGCACCTTCACACTTCGGCCTTCAGGGATACCCTCCTTGTCCAGGATATAGTCTTCTTGAGAGGCTCGAAATCCGCCTTGTGGGGCCTGGGTCAGCTCCATGCCGAGGAATTTGACCTTCTTTTGACCAACCACTTCAGGTTCGGACGTCTCCCATTCATCTTGAAGCATTTTGATGATCAAGCTTGTTGTGGTTGGATCGCTGGCTACCATCAGATCGTCGACGTACACCAGCAAAAATCCGACCAGCCATTCATCACGGTCGTCATCATTTCCTTGGCCCTTCATGATGCTCCACAAGTTTGGCTCCGCATCGGCCTGGACAAATCGATGGCCTTCTTTTGACTTCATCTTTCGAAGGACACCATCACGATGTAGTCCCCAGCATCGAGGCGATTGACGCAGGCCGTACATGGCCTTCTGCGCCAAATAAAATTCCTTGACTCCCACGTGGCCAGTCTTGATGAGCAGCGAGGGAGGTTTGAGCACCACAACTGTTGGGTCTTGGCCATCATCTTCTACGTCAAGGGGTGCATTCAAAAATGCGGTGCGGATGTCGAGGACCGTGGCTCCCCAGCTCTTTTCAGCTGCTTGCTTCAGCACATAGCGCAGGCAAACGGCATCAGCGCCCGAAGCGTAGAGACATTGATCCTTTTGGTCTGGTGTGGATTGATCCACAAAGTTTCCACAGGCAACCAACCTGATCTTTCGTCGCGGTCCAGGTTTGAGGGTGATCACAACTTTGGATGGAAGGATCTCCAAATGACGACCCCACCTTTTGCGAAGACGCTCAACTTCATCCTCAGAGATGCGCTTCAGTGCCTGCTTTTCTTCGAAGAGCTGGTGCAGTTCTTTCTTTATGGCCTCGTCCCACGTTGGTGCTTCACTAAGCAACTCCTTGGGGGATACGATCCTCGTTCGAAGCACCGACTCTTCTTCTTTAGGCATGGCGCTTTTGACCTTTTTGAGCTCTTCGTAGACGATGTCCATGACTTTGACCTCATCTTTCAGCATGATCACGCTTTCCTCCAGGACCACATTTGAGAGACGTTCGAGGTCCCTTTTTCTTTCCTCTTCCATCTCTTCATATTCATCCTTCTTCATACTTTTTGCCGTGACTTTTCCTCGGATCCTCCTCCTGACTTCATGCGGATCTTCCTCTTCATCCATGGCCTTAGTGATCGCCAGCCATGTCCATTGGCTTGGTTCTGGCTCCTTGGTCTTGGTGATGAAGTAGGGTGCAATTGCCGTTCGACCATCTTGTCGGAGTACGAGGTGTCCGTGGGCATCTGGTCGCGGAGCTAGGTATTTCACCACTTCATGTGTGCCTTCTAGCTCCTTCGTTTTCCAAAACCTTCTTTTCACCAACAGCTCATGCCCAAATGGCGGCACATCATTGAGCTCTTTGTCGGCCATTCTTCGACGTTCACGTTCATGAACATAGTGGCATGCTTGCGGCCATCGACTTGCAGGAAGACCAGCCATGCCCAGGAGACGGCGAATCTGTCCCTTGACAGTTTGAATCGCTCTCTCTGCACGGCCATTGGACTGAGAGGACACTCCTGCAGTCGTAGTGCGATGTATATCTCGGGAGCGGCACCACTGGGTTAGTGACCTTCCTCTGAATTCGCCTCCCAAGTCAGTGTGGAGACGAGCCACGTGGTATCCCATCACCCTCAACTGGATGTACATCTGCTGGATGGTCGACAGCACCATTTTTTGATCCTTGGATGGCATTGGGATCGCAAGACGGAACGTGACCAGGCGAGGTTCTTCTTTCTTTTCTCCCTGCTCTTCGTCCTCCTGTCCTTCTTCACCATCCTCTCTTTCCTCAACTTCTTCAGCAGGAACTTCATCCTGCTCGATTTGATCATCCAGATCATCTTGACCTTCTCCATTCACTTCATCATCCTTTTCTTCTTGAAGCTGAACCTCCGAGAAGTCTTCATCTTCGGCACTGACCAGCTCTTCGGGGAGTTCGTAGTCAGCTGGAAGCAGCCAGGTGTATGTGCCAACCATGATGAACTTGGCGACATCACGGCCATCCTGAGCCACTGGATAGGGACCTGCAGTATCCAAGGACAGTGTCGCTGCCAATGGGTGCTTGACCTTTCGATGTGGCTTTGATTTGGCACTTTGTTCTTGGCACACTCTGCAGTCTCTTCGAAAAGGTACGTGGCCGTTCTGACAATGCTGATCCCATGTCATGGCCTTAATCTTCATCTTTTCTTCATCGCCTTCATGGAGATGAAGTGCACACGCCTCAGCGATCGCCCGGCAAAGTCCAGGTACCCACTTTGACAGAGAGGCGGATGGCAACTTTTGACCTTCACTTCGACTTCGTGCTCCTGGATTTCTTCCTTTTGGTAAGCGGAGCGAGAAGTTGGCAGCCAAAGACGTGGGCTTGACAGGAACTTCATTCTTCCAAGGTTCAAAATCTCCTTGGTTCACTTGGTGAAGATCCAACTTGGCAGCAGCCTTTAACGACAACCACTCCTTGGTGCGCCAAAAGGAGACACATTCCGGCTTGTAGTCGACCGGATCGGAGGGCTGCTCGAGCAGGAAGAGAACTTCTTGGTTCCTCACCCCTGAACTTTCATTAGCATTTGCTTCTTGAAGCTTCCTGGACATCTCGGCGACCAGGTAGAGGAAGATTTGACGCCACATCATGATGTCATCTTCCAAACACATATTGAGCTCCTCTTCATTGAGTTGGCTCGTACCCCAAGGTTCTTCCCAAGAACGCACCGGCCTTGGTCCCCCAGGGTAGTGGCGCAGAACTGAGCGAGACCGACAGTTTGGGCCTCCAACAATGGCGGCAAGATCACCATCCAGCGCCAACCTCAGCATGCCCTTGTATGCCTTGGAGTCCATAGAAGCCATGTCATGCTCCTCCCCCCTTTTTAGATCCACCTCCAGAGTTCGAGAACCCAGACCGTATTCTTCCATGGCCTTGTGGAGCGTGAAGCCATCCTTTTCGCCTGCATAGAGATGCAGGATGATTGGACCAGCGGCCTTCAATCTTTTTCTTTGGTGCCGGTTTACAGGCAAGTCTTTCCACTCCCCCGGCTGTTGGATAAGGGACTTCTTGATGGAGTCCGGCAGCATGGACAAGGTTGGGTGACCTTCAACCAGCGAGGACAGCCACTCCACCTCCCTTTTTGGATGTGTTTCTTCCACAAGCCGAGCTTGCTTGACATCAGTGACCCTTTCTTCATACTCCTTAATGAGCTCGAGGGCCAAAGCCTTTGGAATTTGTGGGCATCCAGCTTGAATGCTGATTGGAAGAGGACCCTTCTTTGGATGAGTCACCTTCATGCCACTCTTCTTCCAGGACATGCTGCACCCACATCCCGCCAAAATGCC